TCGAGGATGAATTACCTGGGATAATAGGGGTTGGCAACCTGCCAAGGGTCCCGCCGTGCCGACCTCTCTACGGTAGCGGGCTGTAGCGAGCGCCCTCCCGGCGCTCCTCTGAGATTATGCTGGCATATTCCCCGCGATCCCGAAAGGTGTTGCGGCCAGTCGTTGCTTCGGCACGGCTTGGTGAGAGTGCTGTGAGCCGGGGACGTGGTTTACCACTATCCGGAGCACAGTAAACCTCTCGGCGAATGCAACCTTTCGACACACCCATGCCAAACTTGGCCCGCCTGGCCTTCGACACTTGTATTTCCCTCAGACACCTTTTCTCATGTGCCCGATTATATTCCGTCACTGTTCTAATAAACCTGTTCTCCTAATCCTTTGCAGGTCTTTAGCAAATGCACTTTATTACTACCACTGAACACCGAACGCGCATAACCGATAATGAGTGCAGACAGGGCCGGAAGACTGAGGTGGCAATCCGGGTCCTCCCTTGGGGATTTATTCTCCTTGGTGTATTTACACTCTGGGAGGGGCTCGGAGGCTCAATCTTTTCGACATGGTGCAGTCGGAGCCGTAGTGATCCACCGGGCCAGTCGTCATTTGCCTTTTGCCGTTGTACCGCTCAACCTCGACGCCTACGGATATACCCCGCGACACTTGTTTTTTCTTCGACACCACTGCCGGCCAGCAGTGTTTTGCGATGGATGGACACCGACATTTGGTCTGACGATCGCGGACACCTTCCTTCTCTTTGGACCCTTGTGCTGAAGCATTCAAGCTTGATGGAATCTGACAAGGGATGAAGTTTAGTAAGTTTGCGGTAAGCGTTGGGCGACAACCCAACATTCGTTTCGTAGCCTGCCGTGTTGGTGAATTTCTCGGCTCTTTGAGCCAGTTTTTCGGAGAAAATCAGGATGTGGACGATGGATGCTGTGGTGCCATGCCGCCCCAAGATGGGGAGAGGTGCGCGGCAGCAGCTGAAGTTTTTCAAGGAATGATGGAAGTGAATGTCGTCCAGCCGTTGCGAAACTAGAAGAAAAAGCGAGTGGAGCAATCGGATGCATTTTAAAAGGTTTATTTGGTTTTACTTTTGTCTTTTCCAGGGCGAAAAGAGTTTCTAATCGTGTCCAATGGTCATCGCTGGCGGTTGCGGTGCTCTAGAGAATGGGAAGGCCTCGCTCCACGTGCTGTGAGGCGCTCTTCACCAAGCATCGACAACGTTTTGGGCCCCGATCTACCCAAGAAGGACGCGGGCGACATGGCGTGATCAGTGTGCGAAATGGTCGACGGCAATATGGGCGCTTCCATCAAGGCAACTTCGTTCGACTACAAGCCTACAAGCTTCAAATCGACACCAAGCGTTGCCCAAGCCTTTTTGCCGTTCGACATACGTTTTTTTTTCGACACTCGACACTCCTCTACGAGGTGTTTTCGACACCAACAGCCTTGAGAAAGCTGTTTTCGTGCTCGAAACACTGGCCGATCTACTTATGCGCTCACTCTACACGTTCACTGATGCTTCAACACTTCCGCTGAGTGATGTGCAACAACTTCTCATCAAATACTACAACAATTTTTTCGAGGTGATATTGCCCCACAGCCTTGAGAAAGCTGTTGGTGTTGCAATTTTTACTGGCCAAACAATTTGCAGTTAGGCGCTGACATTTTCTCACGACATCGGGCGTTGCAAAGAAGAAATCGACACACGTTGCCTCGGTGCTCGACACTTTTTCGCAAGCTCTTCCTGCGCTTCGACAAGGTCTCATCGATGGCGACGCGCGCTCAACGACAACCCGTGCTGCACAAGAAGCGGATCAAGCCTGCGACTATTCGACTACAAACGACGGCAAGAAACGAAGCATGGGCCGCCTGAAGCGAACAAACCCATCTTTCTTTCTACATTTCGCCGAATTGCTTCACAAATTTCTATCCGCGTCCTTCTTTGCTGTCCAAATACTTTCTGCACACGCGTTGACATTTATTTACTTTTCTTTTTGTGCGACACCTTGGTTCACTTTGGAAGTTTATCTTCCTTAGTTTTTTCAAACCCGACACCCGGCTTCACGCCAAGCGACACTTGGCTTTTGGCCGCTCGACACTTGGCTTGATGCCGCCCGACACTTGGCTTCACATCGTCTCATCATGGTCTACTTCCGCTCGACATCAAGTAGCCTTGCCGCGTGTTCCACAACTCCTGATGGTTCAAGAAGCTGCTCTATGGAAGAAGGTTGCTGCTCAAAGAGGTTGCCCTTCGCTCAATGCTCGATGGACATGCCAAGCATCTACTACCGCACATTCTACTTCGATGAATGGAACGGATGTGCAAAAGTAAAGTTATTTTTGAAATTTTGAGAGCGCCACCTACGATTCGTCGCTAAGGTTGGCCAAGATGATTCGAAATTTTTTGAAATTTCGTTTGCTTGCCCGAAAAACTTCTACGTTCGCGAACTTCGACTAATTTTCGGGTATTGTCATTCGTTTTTTCAAATGTTTCTTATTGTTTCCTCAAAGTTTTGAATTGGCTTTTCACTTTTGTTTTCCCGCTTCGCCTGTTGTACAACTTAGAGTTTATCTCTACTTTGTATAACATTTTTTAGACACACAGTGGTGATGTGACATTTGGTTCCGGGAGACACTTGCTGTCGTGGCCGTCTACTCGGGATCTATCTACTGCGCTTTGCTGATGTGGTGTATCCTGCTCTCTGCGCTCTTCAACTGGCACAACTACGCAGCAAGCAGAAGTCCTTCATCCTGTTCGTCAACTATCTGCCGCTCGCCGATGATGTTCGTCGTTCGCCTTCACAATGCCGGACAACGAGACTGCTTCACGCCGTTCTTCGCTCACCATGCGCCCAATGCTGCTTGCCTACTCGCCCAGCTACGCAGAACAACTTCCGCCAGGCTACGCCAAGTCCAAGCCTCCCTCTGCGTTCGACAATGCCGTGTCTGGCTACTGCTGCTCACCATGGTGCTCCAAGGTTGCCGTTTGCGACAACTGACACAGGGCAATGGATTCGTGATGCGACACTCAAGCTGGCGCAGGGACAGCGACATGCCGAGCAACTTTGACGCTTCTCGCGTCTACCTTTGCCGACACCGGATCCGAGCGGCGCTCTACACCACAATTCACTGTTCGACAACGTCATCATCTACATGGTCACCTTCCACGACGTTCACCTGTCAATCGACACTGCCGCCAATGTTGCTTACTTCTACAGGGTCAGTGCCAGGTGCTCATCGGTCAAGACATACCGACAGCTTCGCGACGTCACTGACCGTTATTCCGCTTGCCTTTCAGGACGAATCGTCGACTTTTTACAAGTTCCGAACAGTCATCAACGGATCCAACCAGGGCAGACGATCTCTCATTCAGGAGCTCAACGACCCGGAGTACGAGGGCAAGGAGGTCATCCTGCTGTATTGCAGACAGACTTACATGCTGCATACTCCGACCTGAGCCGAAGAAGAGCGACACACCTTTACGATCTCTTATTCAGGACCTCAATGAGCCGAAGTACGAGGGCAAGGAGGTCATCCTGCCGTATGGCAGCGAGACTTACGCGCTGCATACTCCGACTCCTGAACCGAGAAGAAGAGAGACAACCCTAGTACTTTTCATGGAACCGGACTCTGACTCCGACACTCCACCCGAGTTCCTGGAACCAATCGGAAGATGACAACTGACCGATGGCGCTACAGCACCGACATCCGACCTTTCTCGACTCCGCCGCCTGTTCTTTGCTTGTGCATGCGGATGTCTACTACGTATCAGCGCGACATCTACTACTTCTCAGTACAACATCTGCTGCACAATCGCGTCCAATACGTCAACGAGCACATGTACATGCGTCTACGCCCTGCAACAAGCCGAACGTCAACAGCAACAATCGCCCCCTCACCTCCATCGCGTTGACTTTAGATGTACGACACACAGGCGGAACAACAACACGTTCACACGGAAGAACCTGTCTCTTTGCCGCGCCTCGCCACTGTTTCCGACAGGGATGGGCTCGCTTCGACACCATCATCCTCGCCTCCTCGACCGGATGTCAGCATTCCTGCTGGCCGCTACTGCATCGCCCGGCACTTCGCACTGCTGATGCTCACCACACTTTCGCGACATCAAGCTCTTCGGGGACAACGTCAAGCGGAGTTCTTCTTCTCCACCGCGTCGCCTCTCACCATCTTTTTCAGGG